ATGTTAATTCTACTATGAAACACATAATAGATTCTTTAATACTGTCTCTTGTTATTGATATAGTGTTAACTAAGTTCCGGATTCAAAATACGGTAAAAATTAGTTAGTTTTTGAAATTTTTTGGCACAAGAAAAAAATTTTGTTCCAACTTTTCCAAATTTTCTTAAATTTTTTGAGAAAAAACAGTTTGTTTTTTGTTTTTTTTAATTATCTTCGATTCCAACAAGGTTGCAAGCAACCACTAATTAGTGTTGGAAGTTACTGGAAGAGAAAAGATGAAGATTGTAGAGCAAGATAACGATTGACAGACGACTTAAAATATTGCAAATTATATGAATCAGGAAAGCAAGATGAAGGAAGCGAATTCCAAAGAACTGATGTTCGAGGAAAAAAACTAGATGAATAAGAGTTTTTGGAGCACTTAGGAACAGTAACAGAAAAAGGATGAGACTTAATTGAATGACGAGTAACACGAGAATGAATTTTAGTAGATGGCACAAGAGATGCTAGCTCTTTAGAGCAGTGCCCATTATAGTATTTGTAGAAAAGAGAAAGAAAAGCAACATTACGACGATGTGACAGAGGTTGAAGGTTGGCTGCAAGAGCAGGTTCAACTACGTTTACAATGCGTTTTTGCACCTTGTCTAAAAGAGAAAGGGCATCATTAAAGATCCGCCCCAGATATGGCAAAAGTATTCCATACAAGGCCGGATTTGAGATTTATTGAGATAGAGAATAGAATCCAAAGTAAGAAAGTGACGAGCTCGATAAAGAGAAGCAACTTTAGCAGATGCTAATTTTGCAACAGATTTGATATAAGGTTTCCAAGAAAGATCAGAAGTAAGAGTTAATCCTAGAAGATGAAGGGTAGGAGACTCATCGAGTACATTACCGTTCATAAATATAGGAAGGTCTAAATTATTGCGATAACGATTAGCCGAAAAAAATTGAGTTTTATCTGAATTAAAGTTCACCAGCCACTGCGAGCCCCATGCTGTAGCAGAAGTGAGATCCTTTTCGAGCTCAGATGCCCCCCGCAAGCAATCAGAGGGAGTTGGCTTCTTATTGTGACAAGAATAAATAGTAGTATCATCAGCAAACAATGCCACCTTAGATGTGAGAATATCTGGAAGATCGTTAATGTAAATTAAAAAGAGTATAGGGCCAAGGATTGAACCTTGGGGAACCCCTGAGGTTACAGAATAAGAAGAAGAGTGCTGTCCATCAAGGACAACTTTTATACTACGATTGGAAAGGAAGGATTCAATAATCTTAAAGATGTTTCCAGATACACCATAAGAAGAAAGCTTATGGAGGAGACCAGCATGCCAAACTTTATCAAACGCTTTAGAAATGTCAAGAGCAATGGCCTTAACCTCTCCACCTTTATCTAATGCGCGATAAAACCTATCGGTTATTACTGATAGCAAATCAGCCGTAGAACGAGAAGATCGAAATCCATACTGATGACCAGAAAGTAGGTTATGAGATTCGAGATGAGAGATTATGTGTTTGTTAATTAAAGATTCAAAAACCTTGCTTATGATAGGAAGAAGACTAATGGGACGGTAGTTAGATGAGTCAGATCGCTCTCCAGAATTTTTCAAAATAGGGATAACAGATTCTGCTTTCCAGCAGGCTGGAAAACAAGACTCTGATAAGCACTTGTTGAATAGTTTTGAAAAGATAGACGACAGCTCAGGAGAACACTTCTGCAAGACTATAACAGGTATGTTGTCCGGGCCGCAAGCTGTAGAAGAGTCTAAGCGGGAAATCACTTTAGATACAGAAGCTGGAGTGATACGAATGTCGAGCAATGGATCAACCTGTTTGACGGGTATATCAGGTAAAACGCAACTAGTGGCATCAAGAGATAATATTGATGAAAAGTTCTTGGCAAACAATTCAGCTTTGTCTTTAGGTGAGGTGACAAAGTCTGAACCGTACAAAAGAGGTGGAATTACAGACTTGCCCTTATTATTGATACTATTAAAGATTCTCCAGAAGTCATGAGAGCCTAATTTTTGTGATGAAATACGAGATTTCATGATCTGAGAATAGCGGGTTTTGGCGTTAGACAAAACCTTTTTACAATGATTCATAGCAGTAATAAAGAGACGTCTGTTTTCTGGAGAATTGTTTTGCTGATAGATATGGAAGTAATGGTTTCGATTGGCAATTGCAGCAGCACAATGTGAGGAAAACCATGGAGAAGAGTGAGGCCTGAAATCGTCAAGAGGGAATAAAGGATTCCATGCCAGCCTGAATCCACGAAGTTATGTAAGAAGCACATTTGTCAACAGGGAGACGAAAGATTTCTACCCAGGGGCCATCACGAAGAAAGTCACGAAAAGAGTCCCAGTCAGCTTTAAAGTAGTTGTAAGATGTACGATGATAGGGGGATTCTAATGGTAAAGAAGAATGAGATAATAGTTTTAGAGAGACCAAACCATGATCAGACGCACCTAAAGGTGAGTGTGAAGAAACTGAACACTGACTAGGATCAAAAACAAGACATAAGTCGAGTAGAGAAGGTAAATGATTCGGGTTGTCTGGAAAGCGAGTTGGAAAGTTGACTATTTAAGTTAGGGATTGAGAAAGACAAAAGTTGTGGGCCTTAATGCCTGCAGAGTCACTGACACTAGAGCCAAGCCATTCAGTGTGATGAACATTAAAGTCACCGTCAACAACAATATTGGCTGATGGATAAAGAATGAGGGCTTGGTCAATATAATCAGAAATAACATCAAGAAGAGTGCAATCTTGGGATGAGGAAGAGCGATATAGAACAAAGAGAAAGGTGATAGAGTGAAGTGGTGCTAAACGAAAGCACATAAAAGGGTAGTCTGTGGATTCAAACCTAGTTTCCCGACAAATGGGTGAATTCTTACGAATGTAGATGCCCAGGCCAAGCATGTGACTATTGGAGTCTTTACAAATTAAAGTAAGATAACCATCAACACTAAGATCACAAGATGAGACAGCTGAACTCAAATTAGTCTCACAAAGAGCAAGCAGGTCTGGTGAACTTTGCAAGAAATAAGACTCAACAGAAGAAAAGTTACTTCGAAGACCACGAATATTGGTGAATGATAGGTTTAGCGAACTTGGTGATGACTGTGGTTTTTTGTGTTTTATAGTTTTTGTTACTTTATTCATTTTTAAATTTGTTAAAGAACTTGAAACATTGATAGTACTCAGAACACTGTTCTATAGTTCAAGCAATTGCCTCATTTCCACTAATAAACCCTAAGCCGTAACAAAGGGCTCCAATGTGGCTTTGGCAATGCACACCAAAAGTACAAACAGGGACACCATCCATGCGCAACATGGCACTGTTAGTACTCTGATATTTTTCAGCTGTTGATGGAATCAGCCTCTCTGAGAGCTACCACAGAGTTTGGGAAACCTGACTACCAGCCGGCCTCAGAACCATAAAACTGAGTTTTAGAGCTGTACCCTCATTTGGAGATAGTAGAATGAGTTGCCTAGTCATAAAAACAGAGACACAAGCAAAACCCATGAATCGAGTCAAGAAGATCCAGCGTTCAACATCCTAAACTGGAAACAATGTATTAAAAATACATCTGCGCCAGCCTAATAGATGACGAAGGGGTGCGAGGCTGGTCAACAGATAGAATCTGTTTACCCCTTAAGTCTTTGCCTAGGAGGCCTTCTACAAGACAGCAGCCGGATGCATGTAACATCTGCCCAAGATGAGTATTGTTATCGAGACACCATCTCTAGCCTTTACTCAACCAAGAGCCCCAAGGCAGGGGGTGTTTTATGTTGGAGTTTGCATCTGTCTTTGCAGTTTGCGGAGTTTGCAGTTGTCTTATAAAGATCAGAAAAACAAGCAACATATTGAATGCATATGAAATATGCATGAAATTGTTTTTTTTTTTTTTTGTTTTTTTTTTGTCTTAAGTTGTTTTCCTCAGAACAGCTGATTTAAAATTTGTCTTTTTATATTTTTATTTTGATATTTCATGGATAAAAGTAAATTTTATTGTAATTCATCACTAAAATTTGAGATAAAATAATTTTTTTTTAAAAAAACAGACTTTTGTCATGTAATCACAAATAATTTTTATTCATAAGAAAATAAAAAGATAAAATAAAACTTTTTAAAGAAATTCTACATCTGAACATTCATTATCTCTTGCCTGGGATTGAATTGGAGATCCTTGGCCGGAAGACTTCCTATATTTTGCAAAAAAGATTATATTTTTGTTGAAAAATTTTGAGAAAAAAGTTTTTAATTTCAACTTTTTAACTAAGAATGAGGAAAAAAAAATTTATAAGTTTTTCAAAATTTGTAATAATTTTGTAAAATCAAGTAAATATTTTTTGGAAAATTACCTTAAGTTAAAACACACATAATTATTATGTCACATAAAAGTTATTATGTAATTTACACATAGTTATTATGATAATACAAATTACTAATTAACATTTATGAAACTTTTTAAAAAACTAAAATTTTATAAAATTTTAAAAACAATAATTATTAATTAAATAATAAAAAATATACTTCTTAAACTACTTTTATTTAAAGAAATCTATAATTCTTAAACTACTTTTATTTAAAGAAATCTATAACAGAAATCTCTGACTACTTTTGTAGTCTATGCTCCAAAAACTATATTATAGCAAATGAAAAAATGCGTTATAATATTCCCTCATTTCATAACAATTGTTTTCTTTATGGAGTTATTGCCTGCGTAGTTACTCTATTGACATTTTAACAAATTTTTTTATCAGAGTGTTATTTATAATAGTGTGTGTCTATTTAATATATTGATGCACTTAAGTTAAATACAGTTAGATGTATTATATTTATATTTATAGATTTTATATATTTATGTATTAGATTTATATTTATAGATTTTCTCCTCTAGTTTTATATATTGAGTATTTTCATTATTATATTGTTTTGTTATTTTTTTACATATTCAATTCTGTTGAGTTGTTTCTTGAACATTACAAATTTATACTAGGTACAATACTTTATTACAACACAACATATGGTGGTTTGAAAAACATGTATTTTATATGTCCATCATGGGTTTGTAAACTTATGTCAAAACTGATAACAGAAGATCGTGTTCATAATTTTATCACAAATGGAATTTTGCAAAAGTCACATATTCCAGTATGCAACTTTTTTTAAACTGGAAGAAGTATTAATTCAATTCTAGTATTATATTAGAATATTGTTGTTTTTTAAATTATAAACATTTTTTTTATTTTGTAAAAAACTTAAAATTAGTTTTTAATTTTTAAGAATTTTTTTTCAGCTTATTTTAGAAAACAACTTGTGTGGAGAAACATCAGTTATTGTAAATACGTATTTAAGACTCTTATCAGTATTTCAAATTGCTATTGAGATAGACGATCATAGAGTTTTTGTACCATCAAAATTGCCCTCTGATGCTCCACTGTATTCCGTTAATGATTCTGGACCATTACTTAAGCGCTATCATTTTTTTCCATGGATTCCGTTTGGTTTTTGGCCACGTTTTACAAGTCGTTTTTTAGCGCTAATCAAAGAAATGCTATTACCTCATACATTAGAATACTTTGAGGATTCTGAAGAACTAGGATATTTTTTTGATAAAGATGTTATTAAATGCTGGAGAAAAGGCCTTATTTTTGATCATCCTAATGTATATTTTTCTATCCAAGAAATAGAGTCTAAAAAAGAGGGCATGGACACTATTGAAACATGTGTTCAACATTCCCCTGTTGGTTATCGAGTACTTAGTTATATTGTTGATCAGATTAGGACTGTTATTCTTGAATGGTTTCAAGGTGTTCTTTATTTTGCAGATAAAATGCAGATAGAATCGTACTTTGAATGTCCTACATGTACCTCTCTTGGAATAGAACCTCCTGTTTTATTTAACATAAATTATGCATTCCAGAGGGTATACCAAACTATAGAAGAAAAGTCATTCAGTATACCGTGTGAATATAACCATTCCCCAAGAGTTATTAATCTTGAAGATTGTTGTCCTGATCTTACATTTCGGGATTTAACAGATGATCTCAGGTTTCGTGGAAGTGACGTTATTTATGCAAAAACTGATAAAATTGCAGGAGGGCATTGTGGCGATGTTTATCGTGGTAATTTTAAAAATGAAGTAGTTGCTATAAAATGTTACAAATTTGCTATGACAAATGAAGTAATACCATCTCTTGAAAAATTTTATGAATTTAGACAAGAGGTTTTAATGATAAACAAGTTATACCATCCTTGTATTATTAAATTTAAAGGTGTGTCATTTAAGCCAGAATTATGTGTTATGCTAGAATACGCTGAACATGGTTCACTAGCAACTGTTATTCATGGAGCAAATTCTGTGGTGATATCGCGTCTGGTAAGACTCAGAATTTGCCAACAAATTGCAAGTGCTTTATTATTCATGCATAAACATAACATTGTTCATCGAGATATTAAATCAGATAACATTTTAGTGTTTTCGCTTTCTCTCAATGCAAAAGTTAATATTAAATTAACAGATTTTGACACAGCTTGTTATATGAGCTGGTGTGGTTTGAAGTCTATTACTGGAACTAAAGGATATATTGCCCCTGAAATAATTTCATCCAAATCATATTTGGATAACTATACTTTTAGTATTGATGTATACTCTTTTTCAAACGTTATGTACGAATTAATTACTTACAGAAGACCTTTTTATCAAGTTCAGCATAGTAACGAGATTAATAATTATGTAAGGAAAGGATTGCGACCAATATTTTATGATGTACATTATGCTTTTTATGGACTTATAAATTTAACAAAACTTATGACAATGATGTGGCATCAAGAAGCTTCTGAAAGACCTAATACAAAAGATATTATAAACCAACTGGGCTCTCCAGCATTCCAGTTGATTTTTGGAATGGAGAAACTGCAAGGCTGTAGTCCAGGGGAATTATGCTACATTCACACGACTGATGAATTGTGGGTGTCATGTGACAAATCTGGTAAAATATATAATATTTTTTAAATAAAAAACAAGCAAATATATATATATATATATATATATATACTATATATATATATATATATATATATATATATATATATATATATATATATATATATATATATATATATATATATATATATATATATATATATATATATATATATATATATATATATATATATATATATATATATATATACATACAAATATGCAAATAATATATATATATATATATATATATATATATATATATATATATATATATATATATATATATATATATATACATACAAATATGCAAATTTTCTTGAGAAAACTTTTTTTTTTGAAAAAAAAAAAAGTTTTTTCAAGTATAAAGTAATCAGTTTTAGATGAATTACATTTATTTTCTGCTCTGCTTTGGTTTTTAGTTAGAATAAAGTTATGTCTCTTTACTTGGCCATAAATCTTTGATGTCTCTGATACAAGCTTCACGGACCTTTCTACTGACTGTGAAATGTTGGGTAAATCTGTAAGAATAAATTTTTTAGAAGCTTGCAAAGCATTCACTAATTTAAATGATGGATTAGGATAGATGTTGGAGGTTTAACCTCAATTAAGGAAACATCAATTAACTAAACTACTCCATGTAAACAAGCTAAACTACTCCATGAATCAGCGTTAAAGTTAATAGATAATTAATTTTGCTTTGATTTTTGGTTTGACTTCAGGATTTACTTCTCTTAATTGCCTTATGTGCAATCAAGAGAAGTAAAACTTGCTTAATAGCTTAAGTCTATATATTGTTTTTATCATCTTGCAACATAGAATATAAAAGGTTTTCTTGAAGACAGCAATAAGATTTTCCTTAAAGATTTTGAAAAACAATTTGTTGTATATTGCCTGATTTTTAACAAGCTCTATTGTCTTATGAAGTTCTTTTATGGTCGACATGCGACAATATACTTGTACTATATATTTTGTAATTGTACACATCTGTAGGATTCTTCACTCTCGCATAAACCATCATTATTCTTAAAGCTAGAGTTAACCATCTGGCATAGTAAGCAGGTCCTGGTTTTTTTATTGAATATTTTGGAGATATAAAGCCTTTAGATATCCCAATATAGTATTCATAAAGTTTATGTAAAGGTAGAGCTAACCATCTGGCATGGTAAGCAGGTCCTGGTTTTTTCATTGAATATTTTGGAGATATAAAGCCTTTAGATATCCTAATACAGTATTCATAAAGTTTTCGTTGATGTGTACTAAGATTAGATAAAATACTAGAGTTTATGTAAGAATCAATCTCTGAATGAATTGGAACAAAATCAACTATTGGTTAATCATGCAAATCACCTGCAGGAGCTTTTTGACCAAAAGGACCCTTATATTTCTTTGGATCATTACTTTTACCATTACTTCAGCTATGAAATGACAAAGTTGTAACTCATTCTGGTGAAGTATATATCCTATTAAATGGATTCGTCGGTTTAAAAACCTTTCTAATATCACAACTAAGCCATTACAACAGCATACAACAGCATTAGTAGTTTGAAAGCCATTGTTCTTGATAATACTTCTGATAATACTGGTGCAGATAATTATCTGCACCAGTATTATCAGAAGTATTATCAAGAACAATGACTTTCAAACTACTAATGCTGTTGTATTTTTTGAGTATTTTTAGTGTCTCGGTTGCCATTGTAATTCCTGTTCCATTTTTTATTTCAATATGAGTTAAATGTTTCTTAGAAAAAGGTCCACTTTCTGCAGTAAAAGTAAATTGATGTTTATCCTTTACTGTTCTATTATTAATAGGTTCTGCATAATGATAATATCCTAATATATGTGCTAATGTATTTTTGTCTTTTCTACTCCAATGACTTTCAAATAAAAACTTCTGAACTGTGCTTTTCACAAATCATGGTTGAAACACACTTTTTAGTGTCAAATATCTTTTTTTCAGTGATAATTTGTGATCTGTTGTTTTGAGTTATAATTTAATTGTCTATCAAGGTAGCAGTTGCTATGGCAGATGTTGTAGCGTAAAAGCATAAAAAATAATACAAAAAAAATAAAAATAAATGTAACCTGTTTGCTTTCTTCACAGAGACATAATTAGTGCTTGTTAGAGCAACCCTTTCATTAAACATTCCTAAAGAGTAATATGTATAATAAAATATGCCATAAATTGAGAAGTAAAATACTGTACAGCTGTAAAATTTGTTGGCAGTTTAGTCACAAATTTGTTCGAACAAAAATATTGTCTAATATTGTGGCTTTTTGAAAATGTAACTTCAAACCTGTCATCACAATTTAAAAGAGGAAATTCACATCACATGTTGATATATCAAATAACTTTGAAAGGTTATTTTCCAACCAACAAACACTTTCTATGTTTTGAAGCTTTAGGTCGTTCAGCTGCAATTACTTTTTGAAATGTTCTTTGTAACTTATTTCTTAGAGGTTTCTCCTTCATTAGTGGAAGATTTGGATTCACTTTTTTCCAAATTTTTAAAATTTCTTCACTTACTTTTAAACTATATATATATATAAATATATATATATATATATATATATATATATATATATATATATATATATATATATATATATATATATGTATATATATATATAAATATATCTGTGTCTGTGTATATTAGGGCCATGCGAATATATATATATATATATATATATATGTATATATATATATATATATATATATATATATATATATATATATATATATATATATATATCATTCTATTTAAATTCAAATGGAAAAAATCAATATTTTATTAATTCTAAATAAAATAAATAAAGTAAAACCTGCAAAACTAATCTTTCATTTAATATTCTAATAAAGTGGTTAAATGTTGCGTTCGTTTTTCAAATTTTTAAGCAAACACCAACAATTGAAAGAAGAAGTCAGCAAGAAGAAGTCAGCAAGCTCTGCATTTATTTTTGTCACAGTTTTATGAAAATGTGTTTGCAGTTTGTTGATTTGTCCAACCATGTTTTTGAATTTTGTGCTGATCTAAAACGCTTTTAGGTGGGCAATTTTTTGGTGACCTTATATTTCTTAATTCCGAAAGCTGAAATATATTCAATATTCTTTATGTATTTATGAAAGAAACAGTTTATTATGTTCATTGTGTTTGTTTATTTATGTTTCATGGTTTGTCTTTAAATGCAGCAAGTTCATCTTTTCTGATACTTTCATTTTTATATGTTGCTCATTGTTAAATTATATGTTGGTAATAATTGTGTTTACAAATTTTCTTCCCCATTCCTTATTTTCTATACACATTAAACCATTATCAGTTGCTTAATGTTTCAAGTGCAATCAGGGATATGTTTTTTATATTAGGGGACATCCATAAAGTACAAACGCAGTAAAACAATTGATTTAAGACTCTCCCTCGTACGCACCATGATTGTACTTCCCTTCGTACGCACCATGAGAGGGGAGTTCGTTTTCAGCAACCTCCACGCTCTCTGTGTACAAATGCACTATTCATTACAAAATTTCACCCCACCTCCTTCTCTCTCTTTCCAAATGCATATGTTTTTTAAAATATTCCCTTCCCTTCGTACGCACCATGAGAGGGGAGTTCGTTTTCAGCAACCTCCACGCTCTCTGTGTACAAATGCACTATTCATTACAAAATTTCACCCCACCTCCTTCTCTCTCTTTCCAAATGCATATGTTTTTTAAAATATTATATATTTTAAAAAACATATGCATTTGGAAAGAGAGAGAACGTTAACGTAAACGTTAAAAAAAAGAAATCAAGTTGTATAAGAGATAAAAATAGAGAAATTGCTGTCCTTAACACCCTCTTCCCTCTTGTTTGCATTTGCACGTTTTTGGATAACTTCCCCATACCTGCACACGTACTTTATGAAAGATCCTTTATTGGAATTCTTTTGTTGTCGGTTTATTGTATTTTTTTTTTAATTATTATGTGTTTTATTATTATTATTTTATTATTAGCAGTTATTTTATTACTTTTTTAAGTGCTAATTGTAATTTATAATATTTTATTTTTTGACTTATTACTTCTAATTTTTGATTTAATGTTATTTTTATTATACAAAATGTACAATGCACAAAACATACAAAGAGTATATTTAAGTAAATGGAATAAAAGTCAATTTACTTAATATATAATTAAAATTAATGTATATAAAAAATAATGATATTATTGAGGTAATTAATATAAAGTTATTTGATGTTCTTTTTTTTGTTATTTTTAAATTTATTATTTTGTAAACTTTTTTCATAGAGAGTTTTATTAGTATCTTTAAATTGGCGCTTGTCGGCAATAACTCTCAAATAGAAAATATGGCAAATGAAGAGAAAATTGAGATTGATGTCAAGAAATTAATACAAAACAAATTTTATGTTACTTCGATGGTTGTTATAGGTGACGGCAGCCATTTATGCATTGTGTTAAGGAGTAATTACGACTTGATTTTAGTATATGAAGTAAAGACAAGAAAAGTTTTGATTCGCTTTCTGATGAAAGAAGCAATTGTTGACTCTATTTGTTATATAAATGATTGGATGTTCTTGGGTTGTCGAAGTAATCTGTCAGACGATGTTGAACAGCCTCTATTTTACAAAGTTAATATTAGGGAACTTATCAATAATAACTCTTTTAGTTTATTGAATGTCGAACTAAACTTTCAAGAAAATCAAGTATTAGCTGTGATAGCTGCTTCCTCAAATGTTCTACTCAAATCTGTTGGTCAGTGCATAAGTTATGAAAGGTTTGATATCTGTCAACAAGGTATAAAAGCTTACCACAGGACTCAAAATGTTCGAAATATAATATTTTCTTCAGATGAAAAATATTTTTTTATTTCTTTTCAATGTTCAACTGAGATTTTTGTAGGTGATGCAAATATTGATGCTCAAAGCGAATTCACAAAGTATGACTGTCGTAACGATATTGAAAAGTGCACTCCATCAGTAATATTATTGGATCTTAGAGTATCGTGTATGTGTTCAGTCTACAATACGTTGTGGATTGGAACGGGAAGCGGACATATACTAATATACGAAGTGTCGAAACCTCTTACCCAATTTATTTTATTACTTGCACTTCATCCATACAAAACTGAAATGAGAAGGTTTGCAGTTATTCACTGTCCGAAGCGTGAAGATAATGTTGAATATCTTGTTGCAACCATTGGTAGAGAATTAAATGAAGATGCATTCGGTAATAATAGTATCTTTAAATGTGGAGAAACGCCTGTAGATGAAACTGCTAAAGCACAAAAGCGTCAGCTTTTCCGTATAGATAAAAAAGTTGAGAAGAAAGAAAAAGTTATTCTTATTTGGCAAGCTTTGATGGCTGATCAGTATAAAGATTTACTTTGGGATTTTTAATGAATTTTAATTTTAAATTTTGTTTAACTTTGACTGTACAGTTAAGGTTGAAAAAAAATTTACACAAATCTCAAATTGAAGCGTTAGAGCATTAATTTGAGATTTGTGTAAAAAAATTTTTAGTGTTTTTTGTAAACATTTTATGCAAAATAAAAGTATTATACGTTATCAGGGCGAGAGGGTCCTTGACCCACCTACTTTTTTCAAATATTTCATATTAAGTATAAAATATAATATAAAATAAAAATATAATTAAAAAAAATTTCTCAGAGAAATTTTTTTTAATTATATTTTTATTTTATATTATATTTTATACTTAATATGAAATATTTGAAAAAAGTAGCGAAAAACCAGCGATGCAATTTTATATAGTTTTAAAAATATTATTACATAACTGTTAATGTGTAGATATTATAGTATACGCTAGCGAATTAAATTTGATATTTTTGTAAATTTAAAATTTTTTTTTACAATAAAAAAGTATTTATAGTTTCGAAATTATTACGACTAAGCTGTTATTATATATTAAATTCTTTATATGAACCAAATAGTTGCGCATCCGCCCCACTCATTCTATAAAGAAATCTGAGGATAGATTTGGTTTGCTATATATTTTAATAATAATAAATATAGATGTTACATATGGCAAACATTCACTTTTCTGGTTCTGTTAGATGCAAACTTTTATAAGCATACTTAATCCAACGGCACATTTTATTGGCATCGCTATTAAAATTGGTAGATATCGTTAATAGTGTGATTTTATTTAATTTGGGTTAACTGAATCTTAAAACAGTCAAAGAGATCTAAGTGTCTCGTCATCGATTTTTTTATTGCGCCAGCTGTTGCTTAGTTTTTATAACAAAAATAATAACCTGTTTCCGCTAAATCAGGCAAGTAAAAAAACATCAGCCTAGCTCTAATAGCTTTTGCATCAATTTTGCAACGAAAAAGTAAACTTTTGTCGTGCTACGGACATTTTTAAGTTTCAACTTTTAAGTATCGGAGCATTGTATACTAGAAACTGCTCCCGGTAAGCGTAACAATCATAAAAGCAACCTAATGCTCTTGGTAATCTTAAACCGAATAAAGTAAATAAATAATTCAAAATTAGTTGAATTTTATTTATATGCCGGATCTGGTTCGATCTTGCAACGTCGTAAGTGCTTCAAAGGTAGAAAAACAGTCAAAAACATTTATCTTTCAAAAAACAATGTTTTACATGTTTTTCGGGTTTCACTGAGCCAAAGAATTAATTTTTGAGGTTACAAATTACTTCAAAACGCTCTAACGGCATGTAACTAGCTAAACAAGAAGAAAATATAACTAAAAAAATGGAAAAAATTACAACAAATTTGGGGTATGATATAAATTACCTAGTAAAATAACAGTGGACTTAGAGAACCGTTCACGAAGAAACAATTTAAGGATTGATGGTGTAAAGGAAAAAGAAGGTGAAAGCTGGGATGATTGTAGAAACTCGGTAAAAGAGATGAATAAAAATAAACTTAACACATCTGACGAAATTGAAAAATGCCCATCGTATTGGAAATGCAAGAAGTGATAAGTTACCACGAACAATAATCTTAAAACTGCTAAATTATTTAGATAAAACTAAAATTCTTAATAATGCAAAAAAATTAAAAGAGACTGGACTATAAATAAACGAAGACTACGCAAAAGAAACAATAGACCATCGAAAGAAATTACCCGGTGGGAAATGAGCTAGCGACTAGCGAGCGATTAGGGGTCGTCCATAAATTACGTCACGCAATTTTTGACCGTCTTTAACCCCCCCCCCTCCCCTCCCCCCTCGTCACAAAATCTTAACACTTAAGAAGCGAGTCGTCACAAAACCACCAACCCCCTCCCCCTTATAGCGTGACGTAATTTATGGACGACCCCTTAGCTAGCTTAATAGCGATTTTGTAGCGATTTTTTTTTTTCTTATTGTTTTTTTTCCTAAAGTCTTTAACATCTTTAAAAATTCGATTTTTAGTGTTAACTCTATTATAATTATGTAGCAATGTGTCGTTAGCTACATATCGTAGCTTTGTAGCTAGCTACAAGATATCTACAAATCTATAGCAGGTTGATAGCTGCATATTAAAATTTTTTAGACTGCGATTTTATTACGATATGACGCTAGCTACAAAAGCCTATGGGTCTTTAGCTTATTAAGCTAACTGTCTTCGTAGCCAAATTGCTGTCTTTGTCTTTATAAATATCGAGCTTTTCGCTAACTTAAAAAAGCTGCCGATCCTCGCGGCCAAATCGCTGTCTTTATCGTTACGATTACAGCTAGCTATTCGCTAGCCGATTTCCCACCGGGTATGGGAGGAAGTTAAACGACTTCGTAAAGCTGGTAAGTACGCCATTATTAAATTTTATAAAATTTATTTCAGAGATTTTAAAAAATAAACAGCTGTTTTGAGCGAGCGCATTTTCTAACAAGTTTTTATTGTCTTAAAAATCATTATGGCTAATAAAACAATAGACTTTGAATTGTTTGAATATCGAACAAATCATACCGCACCATTATGACAACTTTAGCTTATTAAACAAAAAAAACTCCGATTATGCATATTTTGATATGCAAAATTTTGAAGTTGAACTTAAAACCACTACAAATAACTTTACGGTAATACACATAAACATCAGAAGTTTACTTGATAATATAGACAAATAAAAAAACTTTCTCCTTGAATGCAAACATAATTTCAGTATGATCTGCCTTACAGAGATTTGGTGCTCTGACGAAACAGCAGAAACAAACTCTGACCTCCAAATTTCAAATTCTCTAAAAAAAGATCAGTTAGCAAAATAAGAGGAGGAATTTTGAAATATATACGGAATGATCTAAATATAAAGATAAGAAATGATCTTTCAAACTCTGATAGCGATAACGAGGTCCTCACAATTGAAGTTATTAACACTGTCTCAAAGAACTTTCTAGTTTCTACATGCTATAGACCACCTGATGGTGATACTTGTAAATTTTCGAATTATATGAAACATTTAATTACAAAAATAGAGAACAGAAAGAGTTATTGATTATTGGAGATATAAACATAAATATTTTAATGTACAAGTTTACTGAAAACAAAATATGATGTACCCCAAGGTTCTATTCTTGCTCCTCTTTTATTTCTTATTTATATAAACGATTTTCCAAATGCCATTTAATATCTTTAAAACGTTAATATCTTTAAAAATGTTTGCCGACAACACAAACTTATTTTACTCAGCAAAGACAATTGAAGACCTTTTTGAAAGAACAAATGCTGAACTAAATAAAGTTAATATATGGTTTAAATCCAATAAACTGTCACTCAATATAGAAAAAACTAAGTACATACTATTTCACTTTAATCAACAAATTAAAAAAATACCCCTGAACCTACCAACACTTAATATAGAAAATATACATTAAAAGAGTTTTGAATACAAAGTTCTTAGGAGTTCTAATTGACGAACATATCTCCTGGAAACCCCACATAAACTACATTAACACAAAAATATCAAAGAACATTGGTTTACTATACAAAGTAAGACCATTTTTGTCACAAAAAAGTCCAAAACTTGTCTACTTTTCATTCATACATAACAACCTGATGTATGCCAAAATAGCATGGGGCAGTACCCACAAATCTAAATTAGAACCACTTAACCTACGCCAAAAACATGCTTTAAGACTAGTATACAACAAAAATAAATTTACTCATGCTCAACCCTTATTGGAATAAATGAACGCACTAAATATATTATAAATAAATATTTTTCAAAACATACTTTTCATGTTTAAATATAAACTAAATCCGGTTCCAGAACATTTTGAAGCACATTTTTTAAAAAACAATATAAATACAATACAAGAGCAACAGGCAACTTTAAGTCACCATTTGAAACAACAAGACTCAAAATTCTCAATTACATATCGTGGTCCCTATTTATTTAACAAATTAGTCTCCAGAAACGAATCACTATTAAACCTAAACAACGAACACTCTCTGAAAATAAAGCTAAAATCTACAATTGTCAAATTAAACAACTATAAGGAATTTTTTTTAAATATTAATAAAAAAAATTTTGAAAAATGTAGCTTAACTTTTAATACAAATCGATAATAAAAAATAATAATATTAATAACAAGGTATATATGTACAACATACATATATACCACGTATGCAACTGATTTTTATGTGTATTACACGTCCAGAAAAAGGTATTCGATGACAAGACTGACTTAAGTCTTCTGCAAGCTTTCTATAACTACTAACAAGTAATTCTTCTCATCAATCTTACACAATTTTCGTTTTTATCATATTTATACACAAACATTAGTTTGAAATGTGGTAAATAAACTTATAGTCAAACATCTAAACACTTCTCGGAAAAATCACCTAATTTATTTTAATTTATTGTATTTTTTAACTGGAATAATATAGAGATATATTTATCGGATTAATTTTATCTACACGTTACTACATTTTTGTAATTGGTGTTTATTTTAATCGCGTCTCGGAGTTGTATGCAACTATATTTTTGTTTACTTCGTATATTTAGAACTTTATGTTTATGATATTTATGTTTGTATATCTTTACCGCCAATCTGTGATTGGTTACTTGTAAATACTTTGTAGTTGTAAAATAAACATTAAAAAAAAAAAAAAAATTTAGCATATAAAAGTTGGGTCTGTCGATTGAATTTTTTTTAAATTTAAAAATATAGGGAAGGGGGGTTACCTTTTGTTAAGAGTTTTATGGTAAATTGTCTTGTTGGGCGGAAGGCAACTTGGGTACAATACCTAGGAAAATGACTAAAATGAGACTAATTAAAAAGAAAAAAGTTATTACCAAAAAAAAAAATTTTTTTTATACCAACTCGTTATTTTTTAACTTGAGTTTTAAGAATATTTTAGAGATCCTTAGTTCAATCACCACCTCTAGTTTAATAACATCGGTAAAGAAGGAGGCGTGAGATTTCTATCAAATGCTCTTTCGCGGTGCTCTGTGATAAGACCGTGAGGACTTCTTGGAGCACCTGAAATAATTTATTAAAAAAACAAAAACATTTTATATTTTGTTAAAAAGTCATAAAAATGATCACATAAAGACAGTTTTTGTGGAAGGTTGTTAATATAAACTGTCAGTTAATTAAAATGAAACAAGATGAGAAAAAAGTACAAAGTTCTTAGATTACTAAATTAACTAAATTAATAAAACTATAGGGCCACAAAAAATAATTAACAACTTAAAGAGTTTTGGACACTCTTCCTCTGTAATGAAATACATGAATACTCTAAATATATCAAAACTTAATTTTAAATACTAATATTTGTGTATAAGTATATATAAGAACAACTTGTTCCCAAAATTATTTTCTGATATTTTACAATGCTTTTTTTTCAAAAATTCAATTATTGATCAAATTCCAACTACAACTATCATTT